CGGAAGTGAATGTCAAAGCCCAGTGACGACCCATTTTTGACAAGGCCGAAGACTTAGACAAAGCATACAAGCTACAGATAAAGGTATGCACCCGAAGGCAGGGGCAAAATGCAAAACAATGCTTTACATACAAACATGCATGCATACATGGTCCAATACTTAAGCATAAAGAGGCAACTTTTAAGCACACTTAAAAGGAACAAACATGGACAAATGGCATACATTGTAAGCTCTGAAATCATGTTAGAAAAAGGTGCCAAACCAACTAAACAAATCAAGCAAAGCATGCAACAAGGTCCCAGGCTCAAGGCTAGCCAAGGGGCTCAAGCCATGACCATGCCAACCAGGCCTCAAAGGGCCAAAGGGACTCAAAACAGTCCCAAGGCAGACCAAAACAAGGCCAAAGACACACTTAGATGGCATCCCAAATGCCTACACATGATGGCATACACAATGGCACAAACATGGAGCATGAAACACAAACTCTTTAAGACATTAAAGAAACATCAATTGTGAGTAAACAAGCATGCCATATGGATTGAAATGACATGGTAAGTGGCTCCAAGTCACTGAAATAATGCAAGTAAAGCATGCTAGAGAATCCAATATTCAAAGCCTACAAGCTAGGTTGCATGGTAGCTATACAAAGCAAGTCATGGATGACCCAAACAACCAAAATCAGACCTTAAGCAAACCAAAACATGCATAAAAACTTCACAAAGCTAACCCAAAATCATGCTAGAAAGTCATGGTATATCAGGATGCATGTTAAGGCAATTTCATGGCATTACAAGACAAGTATGCAAAGCATGCATGGTATGTCTAAACCAACTTAAAACAGTGCTATATCATGACAAAATAAGCACAAATACCAGCTGAAATGAAGCTAAAGCAAGCTAGGCATACAAGCTACAACACAAGCCATTTGTGCAAGCATCAAAGGCAACATGGAGAGGGGATGACCCTCTCCCATTTAGGACCTCAAAACCACCTCCCCACTACTGAAAATCCTCTGGATTTTAGTAGTAGAGAGGTCATGCAAAGCTCAAAGCGAGGGCCAAAAGGTATGGCCTTAAACAAGGCCTAACAAGGCCTTGGAGGGGGGAAACAACCCCAAAACTCAAAGAAACCTTAAACAAAGTTCTAAAACACACAAAATCAGAACTTTTATTAGTTATGCACTAAGAACAAAAACAGATGCAAGATAGGTCGAAAGCTTGTGCAAAAATGGGGAATTAAGGGGTAAGGTTCTTACCCTTGAAGACCTTCTTCAAGAAGACCACTCCAGCAGCCTCTTTAGGTCAAAACCAACTCAAAAACTCCAAGAACAACCCTTTGGCACCTCAGCAACCAAGGTATGGTGTAATACTAGGTGTCTTAGTGCAAAACTAAAAACAAAACAACCTTTAACACACACAAATATGCAAGGAGAGGGAGATATAGAGATAGATAGACAGATAGATAGATACAAATATCCTAACCCTAATTTTCAGACCTCTGGAACTTTTTGGAACCCTTGAGGAGGGAGGAGAAGCTCTCCGTTTATAGGAATTCCAATCTTGCAAAGCTTACAAAACAAGCTAAGTAAGAGGAAAATCCCTCCACACACGTGCATGGAGGGGGGCATTGTGGATGCCAGCTATCACAGCTGGCATAAAATATCTGACAAAAGTAGATGAATAGTGGTCGGCCAGCCAAAAATGACAGATTGACCAAAACAATGGTCGGCCGACCATAAAGAGTGCCGACCGGCCATCACCAATGGCCGATAGCAACAAAACAGGGCTGGTGGCCTCAAGCCATGGCCGGTGAGGTGTGGGGATGACCAACAAGCCATTCCCTGCCCTCAGAAGCAAAACAACAAGTGTTTGGTGCAAAACCAAACACAAAACAAGCAAGTCGAGAGATCCTAAGGTAAGGCGCGTAGCCGAGACCTCCGAGAACTTAAAACAAACACGAACCTGGATGATCACCGAGTGTTCAAACGGTGACGTCCAAGTCTTGAGGACGGTCAAAAATTGGGTGTCTACACCATGCTCAAACTTTGTCTCATCCGTTTCCGTGTCCATGCACTGCTTGAAAGCATATGCAAAGCCACTTATGTGAACATTTGAAATAGAATTTTTCCCAAGATGCCAATTACATAATTGATGTCTTGCGTCTGGAAATACTCTTCTGATTGCCTCTCGCATCGCCTTATCACCATCTATCAGTATGGACGCAGGTGCTTTATTGCCCATCGCCACCATAAATGTTTCAAAAACCCATGTGTATGTCTCAATTGTCTCATTAGCTAGCAAAACACATGCAAATATCGTGGTCCTAAAGTGGCTAGTCACACCAACCAACATGACAAAAGGTTTCTTGTATGCATTGGTTCTGTAAATTGAGTCAAATATCAATCTCGCATCGCCTTATCACCATCTGTCAGTACGGACGCAGGTGCTTTATTGCCCATCGCCACCATAAATGTTTCAAAAACCCATGTGTATGTCTCAATTGTCTCATTAGCCAGCAAAACACATGCAAATATCGTGGTCCTAAAGTGGCTAGTCACACCAACCAACATGACAAAAGGTTTCTTGTATGCATTGGTTCTGTAAATTGAGTCAAATATCAACACATCACCAAACTTTGTGTAGCCGGCCCGTGATTTTGAATCTGCCCAGAACAGATTTTGTAACTTGTTATCGTTATACACATCATACTTGTAAAAAAAACGTGCATCAACATCAAGTTTTGCACATAGGTAAACCAACGCACCCTGTGCATCACCATCCTCAACTTCTGCTCTACGTTCGACTTGAATATGGTTGTGCAGATCCGTACGGATGAAACCAACATTCTCATAAGACCCGAATTGATTTACCATATAGTCCATGATTTGACTAGTCTTCATACCGACGTTGCGCATAGCCATTGCTTGAGCTTTGTCAGCACTGTTTAAACTGCGATGTGACCTCAGATACATCACACAGTGTTGTTCCGCCAATTCATGGTTGTGGTCTGCGATGAAGTGAGTCACAACATACTTTCCCCCTTCACCAGCATCTGCATCGTACCATATGCGAAATTGGGCTTTGCAACCTACTCTTGTTAGTGCCTTGGGAGCTCTGCTCTTCTCAGCAACACGGTCAAAGTATTTTGGTAATCTCTGACCTACCCTTGAACACAACCACAACATACGTTACCTTTCCCTCTTTATTTGTGTTAAATCTAGATTTTCGTATACTAAATCCCTTGGCTTTAGCATACGCATTGTAGAAAGTTTCTCCATCTTCGACCGAATCAAATTTCTATTCCAGAATAGCACGTTCAACATCACCAACCATGTCATTGCAATGAGCATCGTCAACTATTTCTTTTTTCACATCGGCTCCGCCATCTTCAACGTTCATGTTGGTTGCTTCTTCATTGCTCGGACCAGCTTCGCAACCATGATAAGGTTCTGCCCGACTTTCATTCATCGAACGAATGTCATCTATTCATTTAGAATGTCATAATCATCACATTCCCTTTTAACTTCCGCCGAGGCCATACTGCACATAACATTAGTACAAACAATTACTTGATGACCGAAAAATATTAAAACAAACACAAACATGACATTTTCACACGGTTTAGTTATTTGTGCAAACACAAACACTCGCTTGAGAAAGAGAAAGGTTAGTTGCCAATGGAGGGGTTTTCGTTTAAGCGAAGCGTAGAGCGGTTGAAGTTAGGATGGGGGTTTAGTTGAGGGAAAATAACTGAAGTGAAGAGGCCAGAGAGATAGAGAGAGAGAGGGAGACAGCTCCATACCTCATATCTAGTTTGAGAGAAGGGCTTCACTTCAGCAATGGAACCAACACAGCCTTGTAGTTCCCTTGTTGTTGAAAATCGCCCGTTATACTGTTCCCTACAGAGTTTCGTCAATGGAACCAACCCAGCAGGGGCTTCTCATTGTTAATGGAAATCAAGGGTTACACTGACTCAACCTTACACAGAGAGGAGAACAGAGAGAGATAGAGACGAAATACAGAGAGTGAGTGGGATGCAATCATGTAACTACAAGCATTAACTGGTTGCCCCGGTTTCAACTCTTTCACGATTAAACAATTCAATGGTCTTGATCAATTATTGTAATCTAACGACTAACAATTGGGTTGCATATGGTGTGCAACCTTAAGGGGGTTGCACACTTAAACAGGACCCATTATATTTATAATTTCTATTTTTTGCTCCAAGTGCACAAAAACTGCCACGATAGTATGCATATGAGCTGGACCCCACTTTGGCTGGATGTGTGCCACAAAGCAGCCAGCTCAGTGATGCACCGCCATATCACATTGGCATTTATGAATGGGAACACAGATAAGGCCTATAAATAGTTAATTTTTAATAATTAATTTTAAAATTTGTATCAATTTAATTTAATTAATAACATTGATTAAGATTTTTGTAAAAAAAATTTACAATGTTAACTCACTGAATTGAATAATTTTACAATGTTAACTCACTGATTTTTGAGTTAGTTAATGTTAACTCACTGAATTGAATAATTTTACAATTTTATCTATGAAATCATAATACATGAGTCTTAAGTACACATTTTTCATCAAAAAATACTAACAATTGTAAAAATTGGATCAAATTGAGAGAAAATTATAAACTCAATGTCAAAATTAAATCAATTAAAATTATAAAAGACTAAAATAACATAAAAATAAAAATATAAGGACTAGCAGTATAATTTTCCCTACATTTTAATAGAGCTACATCTATTAAAACAAATAAACATGAATTGCCTATACATGACTCTAATCTTCTTCTTGTTGTTTTTTTGTTTTTTTGTTTTTTTTTTAATCAAAATGAATAAACATGTAATATCAACCCATTCCATTAAGGGCACTCTGGTTATAGATTTATTTCAAAAAAAATTGGAATAATAGCTCAAAAATCTATTCTTTTATAGTCAAAAGAACAAAATAATTTGAAAAATCATATTACTCTATCAATCTGTCCATATGTCCACTGTCTACATATTTGTCCAAGTGTCACATATTTGTCCATGTGTCATCTCCCTATTTGTTCTAGTGATTATTCTACCTTTCAAGAATTTCACATTGACGGTATGTCAAAGCAATAGGAAGGGACTAAATAAATACATGACCCTAATAATAAGGAGATGGTGGATAAACTATAGTATTTCATTGGTCGCGAACATGAACACATGATCTTCCTGACCTACTAGATAATTTTTGCTATTTATTTACATGACACATATCTGTTCATATGTCTATATTCCCACCTACCACCAATTGCTACTGCGATCAACTTTTTCGTCCATTTTTTTCTAGTGCTAGCAATGATCTAATGGCAATGGGGTTAAAATAAAAAATATATATAATTTATCATTCTTATCTTATAATTTTAGAGTACTATTATTTTACCCCTATCTTTTTTTTAGGACAATCTTTTATTTTTCTTAATTTCAATTTTGTCCACATATAAAATTCTATTTTTATTCTCATCCCTAACCTCCCACCAACCATCTCCATCACCTTTGACTATCGCCACCCACCATCTACACTCCGATTAGCAACCTCCATCGCCATTACCAACATCACCTCTAGCCACTAACACCCCTACCCACACTCACCAACCACCAACAATGCCACTCTTAGACTCTCTCTCACACCAAATCGCAATCGCAATCACAATCACAGAAGGTATCGCTCTAAAATGAATCACCAAGCTAAAGGATTGTCAGGGCTACAGTGCTGCTTAGGATCTCTCCAAATTCAGTTCGGTAGTTCAGGCCCGAACCATTGCCATTTGTTTGGTAGTCTACAACTGAACTAACACCATTTGTTCAGTGTTTTACACTTAACCTCCACCATTTGTTCATTATTGGTTTTTCGAACTAAGTGGGATGATTTCAAAAGAAGAGAAATCAAACATGAGCATGGTGGTGGAGGGCTCTATGGTTGTTTTGTGGGAGGCGGCGATGATGAATAACTAAGATTAGCGGAATGAGAAATTTGGATGAAAAAAATGAGGTAGAGGATTGCCAGTGGAAAAAAGAGAAGGAAAATAGATCTAGAAAGGTGAGTCGTTGAAGAAGAAGAGTTTTCCAGTGAAAGAGGGGTTGAAGGAAGGTCTCCAATGGAGGATAAGGACTGTAGAAAAGGGGTTGCCAAAGTTGGGAGTGGGGTCGCCGGTTGAAAAATGTTGAGGTGAGGGTTTAAAGGGTATATTTGGAATTATGATAAGGCTCAAAGAAAAATGAGTAAGGGGGCAATTTTAGACCTCGTTTGAGAACAGGCTAATTTAGTAACTTTTTGGCTATTTGGCTAAAATATGAGCTAAAAAAAACTAGTATGGCGCCGTTTGGGAAGAGGTGGGTGAGGCTAATATAGCCTAAAATGGGAAATAAGCAAAAAAGCGGCACTGTTCACAGTTTTTGAAAAAAAAAAAAAATGGGCTCTGCGCTGGACAGTGTAGGCTACATCAACGGCAAAATTACCATTTTGCCCCTTTATATCAATTTAAAAAATAAAAAGTTAGGGACAAATTTGTCATTTTAAATTTAAACATCATTTCAACACACTTTCCAATACAAGAATTCAACTAAAAATTCATCTCATCTTCCCAAACACAAAATTAAAATAGCCTACTAAAATAACCAAAAAGCCAAATAGCCTACTAAAATAGCCACTTCCCAAACGAGGCCTATGTGTTGGGATGACTTTTTAGTTTTTTATGAAAAGATGTGCAAAAAGTAAAGAGAAAAGAGAATCTTTGATTTTTGGGTATGAGTTGTTGGTTTTTTGGTTTTTTTAGTAATTTTTTGACTTTTTGGCTAAACGGGATGCTTCCCAAACGAGGCCTTAGTGGTAGAAGTTCAAATAAATAGAGAGTCCTAAAAAGAAATGCAAAGACATTTAGCACTACTCTAATTTTATTAAGACTAATGATTGAGATCCCTTCCACAAATCTGAACTACTTATGATGTGAATCTCATACATATATAAGTGGGCCACACACATACATGGAGGGCAAAGATCACTTTCGGAGTATGGGGGTTATTCCCAAGGAGGTCCCTTACATTTTTTGTTATTAATTTTGTTGTTATTCAGCACATGCGAATAATAATAATAAATAAATAAATATAATTTTTTTTTTAAATGTGGTGAACAGTGAGACAATTTGAAGCCTTGTAGAGAGATCTAGGAGTTATTTTGGAACTATTACAATAACACACTTTTTTTTTATCATTTCATCTTTTTAAAAACATACCAATTTTTTACCTTATATATATATATATATATATATATTTTTTTTAAAAAAATTTAAAAATACGTAAACATCCCCTACTTTCCTTGGTAAAACAAAAATACTGATTGATGACTGATTAATTTTTCCATTTTCAAAGACCTCTAGGCTAACTAATAAGGTCAAAGAAAAGAATTGACACACTGTACTCCTAGGATGTGTTTGATTGAACGGACTGGAAAATGAGGGATTAGAATCTATCGGACTTGAGTTTTGGGACTGTGAATCCCTCGGACTATTTGGTCAGATTGGATATGTATCCTGTGTTTGTTTTTTCATGGGATTAGATGTCTGGATAGGACTATTTTCAGTGAATCCAACGTTTGGTTGGACGGACTGGAGAGGATAAATGAACAAAAGACTATTTTACCATTTTTCAATTGTTTACTAAGTAATAGTAATATTAAACATATCTTTAATATTTTAATTATTTTTAGTAAACATTAAACATACTAATGGTTAAATTCTGTTTAAAGATATTTAAACATACTAATATTGATAAAAAATTGACTGGTGCGTATTATTTTTATTTAAACAAATAAAAATTTATTGTTGAAATTAAACATACTAATGGTTAAATGTTTAAATTTTTATTTAAACAATTAACATTGAAATTATTTTGATGTACAGATTATGTTTAAACAATTAACAATTAACAATTAAATAAATGTTGATGTACAGATTATGTTTAAACAATTAACAAATGTTGATGTAATTAACAATTAACAAATGTAGATGTAATCAAATGTTGACGTATTAAAACATAATTTAATATATGTTAAATAAATATACATGTTGATGTACAGATGTTGAAATAATTTAGACCTGGTTTGGCATGCTTAAAAAAAGCTAAAAAGTCAAAAAGTCAATATCCTATTTAAGTCACATCATCTTATTTAAGTCACATCACCTCTCTAATACATCACTTCAAACCCAACCCAAATTCAACCAATATTTCATAAAAAGTCAAAAAGTACACTTATTTAGGACATCTCAAACAACCCCTTAATAAACATGTTGATAGACCTGGTTTGGCATGCTTAAAAAAAAGCTAAAAAGTCAAAAAGTCACTATCCTATTTAAGTCACATCATCTTATTTAAGTCACATCACCTCTCTAATACATCACTTCAAACCCAACCCAAATTCAACCAATATTTCATAAAAAGTCAAAAAGTACACTTATTTAGGACATCCCAAACAACCCCTTAATAAACATGTTGATGTACAAATGTTTAAATATTTAAATAAAACATAATTTAAATAAATGAAATTATTTATTGTTGAAATTAAACATTTAATTGTTTAAATAAAACATCTATTAAAGCATCTATTAAATTTAAATAATGAAATTAAATAAAACATAAACAAAATTTTAAAATAAAACATCAATAAAATATCTATAAAAAATTAAATAAATAAAACATTAAAAAAAAGTTAAATAAAATTATTTTATTTTTAAATTGAGACATTTAAATTTTATTAAATATAATACATAATTAAATAGTAGAGGGTCAAAATTGTCATTTTCGCATCTAATCCAAACAGTGATTAGTCCCCCAAAACAATCCCACCCCCCGGACAGGATAGTCCCCCATATGGGGGACATGGAGTCCGGCCGGACATGGAGTCCGCCAGACTAAAAAAAAGTCAAACGACGAATAAGGAGGAAGGCCGAACATAGAGTCCAAATAATGGATAGTCCCCCTTATTCCCCAATCAAACACACCCCTGGTTGCTTCTTCCTTGTGAAAGTGACGTGGACATTTTGCATGAATCACCAGAAGCTTCTACAATTAAAATCTTAAATAAAAATAAATAAATATTTCCAGAAAATCCGGCCTTAACTAATTGATGAGCCTTAATTAATTGATGCTAACTACCTAAGCCAATAGAATCTGTATATATATGCATGTCATATCTATCTGTGTGTATTTATATATTTTCATTCACAATCGCTGTCGACACATTCAGCACCATCCTCACTCTCTGTCTCTCTGAACTATGGCTGTCGAGGTGTGTGTTAAGGCTGCTGTTGGGAACGAAGTCTCAAAATACTAAAAAAATGGAAAGAGGTGGTTGGAATCCAGTGATTCATAGGAAAAAGGTAGGATGGCAGAGACGATCTGGCAAGGAGGGAGGGCTGGTCACTATTTTTGTGGATAACATTCCTGAATCCATGGACCCCAAAGGGTTATTTAGCCTATTGGTGCCCCTGATGTTCTTGGAGACTGTAATCCATTTCTCTCTCTCTCTCTCTCTCTCTCTCTCTCTCTCTCTCTCTCTGTATGTATATATATATATGTGTGTGTGTGTGTATTATCTTTCTGGCAAATGGGTTGTGGCGATGTGATGATTTTTATGGGTTTTAGGTCCTTTTTGCCAAAGGGTGCTTCTGACGTTGGAGGGGAAGAAAATCCCATACAAGATGCATCTGATCAATGTCGATAACAAGCCCAAATGGTTAGAAAGACAACCCTTCAATTTTGGGTCCTCTTTTTTGGTTCCCAAAAATCATATAATTTTGGGTGTTATGTGAAACTTACTAGAAAACAGATGTGTGTGTGTGTGTTTTTTTTTTTTTTTTTGGGGGGGGGTGATGATTGTTTAGGTTTTTGGAAGTGAACCCAGAAGGGAAGGTGCCTGTGATCAAATTTGATGACAAATGGATTGTTGGCTCCGATTGTGTCGTTGGCGTCATTGAAAAAAAAATACCCTAGCCCTCCTCTCTCTCCTCCCCCTGAGTTCGCCTCTGTGTATGCCCCTTCTCTCTCTCTCTCTCCATGTATTTATATTTGTGCATGTATTGTGTATTTAATTTTGTATATCTGGGTATGTAAAGGTTTGATTGTGTTTTAGCTTTTTTTAGTGTTTAATCCGCTTGGTCGTAAGGGGAGAAGATGTGAGAAAAGGGCAAAAATAAAATAAAATAAAAAATAATGATTGTGGTATCTATTTAGGTAATAAAAAGAAAAAAAAAATAATTATATTTTCTCACTATTTTGACGTGAGAGAATAATGATATAAGTGGGCTTTTTTTCTTTTTTTCTTTTTTTTTTTGGTGGGGACAATTTTAGTATTATAAATATTTAAAAACCAAATCTCAGCACAAAAAATAAAATGAAATAGGCTTATTAAGCCATCTCCAACAGTTCACCAGATTCATCAAAAATTTAAATTTGGTGAAAAAAAACAACTTTTTTTATCTCTAATAATTTCATCAAAATGATATCAAATTGAGAACGATCCAAAATTTTTACCGTACTGAGGAATTGGGATAGATTTCACTGTTCTACTGCGTTGGAAATGGAGCCCACCGGACGACTGGACATCCGGCCAGTTGTCCCCTGGTTGTCCAAATTACACAGCAAATGAAGAGCAGCAGCCTGGGATAAACCTGGGATCCAGAAGTTGTGCCTGCAAATCACAATAAGAAAGCAAAAAGTAAATTAGTATTTCATGAAAGATGAAGTTTTCCAGGGTGTGTTTATTTGGATCTTGGATTTGTAGATGAAAAAGGGTTTATATGAAATAGAAACCAGATTGTCACTTTACCCATTTTCAATTTCTATTTTTCCTTGACAAAGTTATGATCCAAACATGGCATAGGGAGGGAGGACTTACTAGTGAGGGTTTGAGTGGTGGTGGCAGTGCCTGAGAAATCACAGCTGCCAGTACCTTGACTCTTCTTCTGAAAGTAGCTATTAACAGCATAGTTACAGTGATCCTTAAGAATGTTAGTCAGCTCCAGCTCTGCAAGCATAAGCTATGTCCTGATAAACTGAGTCACTCAATTCATCTTTACAAACACAATAGGTACCACCTACACACACAAACACACAAATCCAACCAAATAATAACAGATCAGCGCATACAAAATTCAAGAGGAAAAAAGTTTAAAAACTAAATAAAAAATGAAGTATGTAACTAAAAGGGGAAATTTTCATTTGATGGGTAAAAATTTAACCAGGAAAAATAATGAAAAAAAAGATCAAAAATCCTCTTTTCTAGTTTATAAGTACATCAGTTAACTGTTTATATCAAATTTTGGAAGGAAATCATAATTGGAGGAAAAAAAAAATGGAAAAGATTTAATGGAGGGAAAAAGAAATGGGAAACGAATTGGGAAACAGAAATGGAGGGGGGAAAAAAATTCATTTCCCTATCCGGTCGACCGGCCGGTTGTCACCCTGGATGTCTCCTGTGTTTTGATGAAAGCTGCAGTATACCGTTGGAGTAACTGATATCAGATTGAGAATATTTTCTTTTCTTTTTTACTCAAATTTGATGAAAAAAATGGTGAACCATTGGAGGTGCCCTAAGATAATTCTTCTTCTCATCAATTCTTATCATTTCTCACCCATCCAAAAGGAATGGTGTTCTGTGCTTAGGGTTTTTTTGTTTGTTTTTTTTTTTTTTTTTTTTTGATGAATAAGTCATAAATTAAAAATAAAAAACAAAGAATGTATACATTTACAAGCGGCATATTTCAAGTAATACAATAAATCTAATACTGTGCCCCCAAAGTGGGGGAGATCTAAAAAAAAATTAAAAAAAAAAAAAAAACCCGCAATTGTGCTTCAGGGTTGTGTTTTAAAGTCGTAGTAATGCTGCTACTCTACTGTTTGGTTCTTGTTTTCTTTAACAGTAGTTTATTGTCATTTTCAAAAACATTTTGTGCTCTAAGTAGAAATAAACCTATTTGTTCTGAAAAATATGTTTACTGGAACATGCTTTTAATTTCTTGACATGGAAATTTTTATAAGCTATTAGAAACTATGAAGCATGGACACTCCAAAAATGGTGCCGTGGCAGTGTCCGACACGGGGACATGCCGGGGACACGGGGACACGCCGGGGACACGTACGGGACACGCCAGATGGCGTGTCCCTTTAATTTAATAATTTTTTTGGAAGGGGACACGGCAGGGACATGCGTGTCCATATCTGGACACACCAAGGGACACGGCGGGGTTCTTTTTTAAATTTTCTATATTTATTTGGGGTCAAAGTATAATATTTAACAAGTTAAAAAAAAAAAAAAACTAACGGGCAAAGCCCTAATCGAACAACTGAGGTAAAAAATAGTAAAATCAGACCTCTCAGTCGAAGTCGAAGCCCTCCTCTCTCTCAGTCGAAGCCCTCTGAAGTCGATCGAAGCTATCTCTCTCAGTCGCAGCAGTCCGAAGTTGATCGAAGCCCTCCGAAGTCGATCGTAGACCTTCGATCCAGTCGTCTGTGTCTCTGTTTCAGTCGATCCAGCGTCTTCGACCTTCGATCTGGTCGTCTTCGAAGGTAAGCCCCTCTCTCTGCGTCTCTCGCGAAAGACTCTCTCTCTTTCGCCTCTGTCTCCTTCTCTTTCGCTCTCTCTCTCTCTCTCTCTGCTCTGCTTCGGTTCGACTGAACTGAACTGTCTTCAATTTTTTTTTTTTTTTTTTTTTCTTTTTTTTTTTATACGTTCGACCAGACTTTTTTATTTTTATTTTTGTTTTTATTTTTATTTGTTTATACATTTACATATATAAGACCTTTTTTTTGTTTAATTATATGTAAAAAAAATTGTATTTAAAACTGTGAGATTTTTATGAGTATATATTAAAAACTGTAAAAAAAAAAATATTTATTGAATTGATGTTACTATGTTGGTGTTTGTTAATTTTGATTTAGGATGAATGTAATATAAATCCAAAAAACAAAAAAAATATATTAAAAAAAAAAAAAATCGCCGTGTCCCCCGCCGTGTCCGTGTCCCCTTTTTTTGAAAATTGCCGTGTCCCGTGTCCGTATCCGTGTCCGTGTCCGTGTCCGTGCTTCATAGATTAGAAATATATTCTTTGTGTTTTAAAAAACAGGTAAAATTGAAAACTGAAATTAGCTGAGCCCGAAAATTGTCATGTTGCTGAATTTTTCACCAATGTCGTTCCCAGAAACTTTAGAAACCAGTTTAACCTTCCTTATGCTGTTTGTTCTGTTAATTGTTGTAATCATTTCATTTGTAGTTTTGTGAGTTTTAATTTTGAACTTTGGTTTTTATCATGATTTATCTGTCGATTTTCTTCCTTATCCCAAGTGCCTAGATCAATCAAAAGTTCTTGTTTGTTTGAACCTACGACACACGGATACTTCTAAAAGGGAGTTGTATTTGTATTGTACCCATAACGGATACCAATACTTCTCAAATACTTGCAAATATGTATCGGATACTTGATTTTAATTTTGAAAAGTATTAGATACTTTTCCCACACTCTAGGTCACATATTATGAAATTAAAATTATAATAATTTTTCCATATTATTAGAGTATAATTATTAGAATACATACAAGAATAATTTCATATTTTGTTATTCCTTACTGAAGAAGAAAATAGTGAGATTAAAGTAGTACTTTACTTTTTTTAGATTTTATCAAATTATCGGATCCATGGACAAAAAGTAAACTGACTGTTGGCTCTTAAACTAGCATCTAATTCCAAAGAAATGGTTTTTCACCGTTCTTTGAGTTCATGTTTAATATAATTTTGAAAATTATTTTTTTTTTCTACATATTCTGGTCATACCTGTATCTTATTTTTTAGATTTGTTGTATCGTTGTATCTGTATCATATTGTATCTGTATCCTGTATTCATATCCATGCTTCATATGCTTGAACTAATTTGGATTTAGGCCCCGTTTGGAGACTTACTTTTTTAGTCAATTAGCCAAAAAGTTATTAAATTAGTCAAAAAGCCAACAACTCATACCAAAAAGTCAAAGATTCTTTTTTCTCTCTACTTTTTGCACATCTTTTCGTAATTAGCCAAAAAGTCATTCCAAACATACAAGTTTTTTTACCTACCTTTTTAACCAAATAGTCAAAAAGTTACTAAATTAGCCTGTTCCCAAACGAGGCCTTAGTCTTTTATTAATTCTTGCTCTCAAACTTCTGTGAGATTATAGCGGTTCCAAAATATTTCCGTCTTTTGTCAAGTTCTTGAAGAGCAAGGATCCCAGTGATGGGTCCGAGCAAGCTTTGCTAGACGAGTTGAAGGCACTAGATGAACATCTCAAGGCACATGTAATGCTTTTTTACTTTTGAATTGTGACATCATGAATAACGAGTTAGAACTTTTACTTTTGTTTATAGTGGAAGTTATAGTAGTTAATTAACTGATACGATGATCAGGGACCGTACGTTAATGGGGAAAAAATTTGTGCTGTTGATTTGAGTTTGGCGCCAAAGCTGTACCACCTTGATGTGGCTCTTGGCCATTTCAAGGGCTGGAAAATCGCTGAAAGCTTGACTCATGTCCATAATTACATGAAGGTATGATGTTAGTTTATTGACTCTGGGTTAATTTGTGCTATGACAATCTATTTCTGGATCTAAATTTTTTATATATAAGCTGCTTAGCATGTTCATTATGAAACAAGGTGAGCCTTCTGTTTTTGGAACATTTTTTCCCCCTGAACTTGTGTTTAGGTTGATTGATGCTGGGAAATTGTTGTTTCCCTGTTAGTTGTGTATTTCACAGTCTGGAATAGGTATGCTATTGCAGTTTTGTATGCAGATAATTGGGCATATCGTGGTGATACGTATTTTGGTATTATTTAGAAAAATAAAATACACTAGGCCCATCTTTTGTTATCAAATCCATGTGGACAAGTTATCTCATGCAGTCACACTACACATATTTGGGTCTCGTGGTAGTGATAATAATTGTTCATTGGATTGCTTTCTGGATATTAAAGCCCAAAAGTCGAGTACAAATTTAGGAATTCCATTTTATTCTTGAAGAAAAATATGCTTTTTTGACTCAAGGAGAATCTTTTTTTTTTTTTAGCAAGAGGAAAACTACGTACCACTCTCCTCTCTTTGTGTAGGTATATTGAAAGAGCACTTATTTTGTTCTTTTTAATACTTTTTGGAAATAACTCGAAAAAGACTCAATCCAATTGTAAACTTTTTGGAAATTTAGAGAAAATTCGGAGTTAGTACTTGGTAGACAAGGAAAGCTTGAAGTGCATAACATCTTGATAAGGATTTCCTTGAGCTGCGAAGAGAGCAATTCCCAATTGTTGTTGGTTCTTTTATCCCTATGTCCAAATATTCCACAAGAAACAAAGAGTTGAAACTTTTGAAATGATTTCTACTATCTTTAACATTTTCCTTTGTTTGATTAGTTAAGAAAGAAAAAACACTAAAGAATAAAAGAGAACTTAAAGGATTCCATGGAACCTCACAGTCCAGAAAGTGATTTCCTAGTTCTTCATGATATTTTGGTATACTACATTGGGAATATCATTAATGATCAAATGGTGCACCATTAAGCACTAGTCAATTGCTGTCAAGCAAGTGAAGAATGCCACTTAAGGAGTATCAATGCTTCAAACTCTTACTGCCGGGAGCAAAACACCACTAAAACCTCATCAAGAGATGGTAATACAACTCATCAAAAAAGTGCACAAAGGGCAGAATATCATAGCTCTGCAGAATATCAATCATAGCCCTCAAAATAGTCTGATAAAGTTTCTTAATATTGTGCTCTACTTGTTCACGTCGTAATGTTGCAAGATTGTCATAGCTCTGCAGTAGTTAGTGCTATTATGTTGCATTGTTTCTTTCTTTAAGTAAGCGGCAGTTGGATAATGGCTAGAGAGTTTTAGACTTTGATTTCAGTTTGGTTCCTTTAGTGACATTAGTTGGTTTTATATTGAGTTGTGTTCAGTATTCTCTCTCTCTCTCTCTCTATATGTATATATTTTATAAATGTTTTCTAAAACTTGAACAGAGTTGGAAATATCTATGCCATGAAGTGAGTAGCACTTTCAAGTTGTGTCTGTTTTGACAATTATCAAATGTTTTCTGCTTAGGTCATGTTTGATTCACAAGATTAATAGTGAAGTATTAATAATCCTATTAAATTATTGTGGTATTCACTATCTAATTGGATTAATATCCATTGGATTAATAATCTCACCCCTACCCCATTACTAATAATCCTACAAATTTGTTGGATTAATTAATTAATCCATTGGATTAATAATCCTAAACCAAAATGTTAAAACATACATAGGATAATTGGGCTCACGGATTAATAATCCCAATCACATACTCTAATCCACCCAATCAAACATGCCCTTAGAGTACACATCCTAACAATTAGTTTACCTATTTTCTTGCAACTATGGTAGAATGTTTGCAGCATCTGTTCATGCCGAACTTTGGTCTTTCCTCATCTGAATGTTAAACTACTTGACAACTACACCAGACATTAATAAGTTTTAATTTTCATGTGATGCAAACTGCTTGAGCCTGAGCTTATGGGATGCATCTCAAAATGCATAATTCTAGGTTAAATGCCTGAATTTCGTGGTTTGAAATGTGTGAGCATAAAAAAATTTAGATGTGCTACTCTGTATGATTGAAGTGTTCAACCCTTCTTATTGTTATACACATAATAAGTTAGCAAATGGACCTTTATACACTGTTTTTCTTTGATTTATGGATAAATGTTTGTTCGAATGCACCTAAATGAAATCTTAGTCCCATCTTAGCATTATCCCTGAATTTGTACAAATTAATTGCTTAATTTTTTATTGGAATTAGTTTTGTTTATGCAAGTTGACGAAGGCATTCGTACTCAATGTATTATTTCCGATATTTGCTCTTTGTCTCGTCTTTTGAAACTATGGTTATGTAGATTATTGATATAACCTATCGATAAATGGAAATGTCACAACCCAAACCCGCCCCTAAAAGTTTGGTCCATGACCGGCCTGAACATAGGCCTCAAATCAGAATTTTAGAATAATATCTAACCATATACGAGGTCTTAAGCGGAAGCAATATCAATAAAAGACAACAGTCATTGAGTTTGTGCATACATGATGGTTTAATTGGATTTAAGCATTTAAATACATTTCCAGAGTTACATATACAATCATAGAATTTATATAGATCTCACACACATTTACATAAGACTTAATAATTTATATAACTCCCAACACAAATTAAGGCCTCCACACGGAGGCATACCCGAAATGACTTGGCAGACAGGCGAACCTCAATACCACTCTAGTGTCAATCCCCGATGGCTCACCTACATAAATATACATAATAACGAGGTGAGCAAGGCTCGGTGAATAATAACAGTGTAAGGAGGTTAATTAAATAAGCAAAACCTTGGATAAATTAAATAGACAGATACCAAACTATACACAGATCTTATCCATAACTATATTTCAATACGGTCTCAGGCTCCCATGTAATGCAGACTAGCTTCAAGCCCATATGTAATACAGACCGGCCTTAGGCCCATGCAGAATACAAAACGGCCTTAGGCCCAACATATTATGCAGAGCGGCCTCAGGCCTAACAGATTATACAAAGCGACCTTCGGCCTAACAGGTTATACCGAACGGCCTTTGGCCTAACAAATTATACAGAACGGCCTCTGGCCTAACAGATTATACAGAATAGCCATTGGCCTAACAGATTATACAGAACGGCCTCTGGCCTAACAGATTATACAGAACGGCCTAACAGATTTTACAGATTATACAGAGCGGCCTCAGGGCTACATATTAGCAAAAACAGAATAATCCCAGATTCATAAGAATACCATTACTCAATAGTGCACATCGAATTTTCCCATGGTTTATTACAAGTCGGCATAGTTGTCTTGCGAATAATAGAACATTAATAATAACTATTAACAGAAGGCAAATGTATCACTACATTAATAGGGATAGAACAATTCATATCATAATGGCCTCGGGCCCATGTCTGTTACCAGAGACAGAACGACCTTAGGTCCATATCAATGTCATTATTCACTCATATCCTTTAATTTAATCAAAGCACAATATCAATGAAATAGGCCATTCACAAATAACAATACACAAATCATAATTACAGGAAGTAAGTGAAGCATATCGTTACAGCATTATTACTCACAGTGATTGGCTCCCAGTAGTAATAGGACGATGTCCTTGTCTCGACCTACAAGCATAGTGCACAACACATAATATGAGATCATAATCGATTCTTTACTTATTCTCTTTGATCATTTAATCAATTAGTCATGGTGGTACCAAGCTCATTATTCCTTAATAAGTTATAATCCATGCCACAGAAGATAAGAGGAATCGATGGGAAAATGGTTCAGACGAAGAAATGGTACAAACCAGGTCAATAGAAAGTAAACAGTCGTCACTAATTTGGGCATAACTATCTCTGTATTTAGAATTTGGGAGTGAGACCATCATCATAGGAAACTAGACTTCTGGGGCTTGATTTTAGGCTCAAGAATCACTCAAAACGGAGTCCGGATGCAAAAGATATGCTTATTTAAAGTTGGCTAGGCAGAGCTGTCTCCCGTACGTGCAGGATGACGTGTCTTTTTAGCAGATTCAACTTGGTTTTGGGACTAGACTGCCACACGTGCGGGAAGACCCGCCGCACGTGCGGCTCTGGGCAATTTTTAGTCCGAAAATGGCTATTTGATTTGGATCTTCTCATTTTTAAAGTTAAACCTCAAATTCATGCAAATCAAAGCCCAAAACCCTTTAATACATGCTAAATTCCACATTATTAATTGCCATCAAACATCATAACCTCAAAATACTGTTTAATTCCCAAGCACAAGAACACAAGAGCATAAAATAACTATAGTTTGGGGTTCAAAGTTCACATCTTCCATTTTTACATATATCTTCATTCATATATATAGCTAATCATACAAAACTTCAAGATTGGAGCTCAACTTCCCATAATCAACCTCAAGAGAAACAAATATAAAGAATTAACTCTTCAATTAAGCAACTCTTAAGGAATCAAGGTTCAATCAAATATATACATAGAACCCTAACTCAAATGGGTTCAAATCTTCCCTTATTATCATGATTTCATGAAATTGATGCTTTAAACATAAGGATTCAAAATAAATTATCATACCTTAGTTCACTCTTTGTTTTTCTCATAGTTCTCTTTAATTTCTCCAAGCTTCCATGGTTGATCTCCTTCTTCTCTCTTCAATCTCTTCAAGTTATCTTCAACAAGGTTGTTAAGATCGGGATCCTACATAGGATCGTTTTGGGGGTCTGGAGGATCGGATCGTAGGATCGGATTGGGGATCGTAAGATCCTACTAAAACGATGAAAAAATGCAATAATTCTTATATGTCTAACTAATACTATCAAAATACATATAAAATGACCCAAAAAAACTTGAGAATGTAGCTCAAATGGTAGAGCTCTCATACTTATGAGCAGATCGAGGTTCAAATCCTCGCATTCTCACTTGTGCACTAACAATAATCAATTCAAATATAAATTTTGCACATTTTTTTAAACAAAGAAAACATAATAAAAAAAGGTGGCAATTCAAGTTGTCATTCAAACATTTTCCTCAAATCTTAACAAAAGAACATACTAAAAGAAAATAGCAATTCAACTTCAAGTCTTCAAGTTAACACTTGCACAACATTGATATCCTTAACAAAACAAACTAAAATAAGAGAAGAATAAATAAACAAGAGGCTAAAACAAGTCATCATCTTCATCGCCGAAATCATCATTGCCACAATCAACAACATTGTCGATCTCATTGCCTCCCTCATCTTCATCATCACCCACAGTGTCACCCAACTCCTCAATGTCATCATCACCAATAGTAGCATCATCAAAGTCATCATCAAAATCCCTTGGAGCATTCATGTTGTCATCCATATCATCATCATCACTTACTTCATGAATTTCATCGACATTTTCTTCAATATGGTCACGGCCTAAGTTGAAGAAAAAAAAAAAATCCAAATTAAATCCAAATTACAACTTCTAATTAAAACTAAAAGATGTATCATGTACCTAGACTTACATGCTTGTTCCAAATCCCTTGCAAGAGCATCTGCCTCTTCATCTTCTGAATGACATCCATGTCGAGCATTCCTATCAAGCACATGCAACCAATTTCCTTCTCTTGGAAGAGTCGGATTCTCTTTCTCTGTTATCCACTCATCGTCTGATGGAACATCATCCAAACATAATGGATTCATGATTGATTGTCTATTCTTGTGCCTTTGTCTCAGTTTCAAATTGTACATCACAAAGACCAAGTCATTCATTCTCTTTTGGTGTAAACGATTCCTCCGCTTTGAGTGTACCATCTCAAAAGCACTCCAATTGCGCTCACACCCCGATGAACTGCATGTTAGACTTAATACCCTGATTGCAAACCTCTTCAACTCGGGACATTCATCACCAAAAGAGTCCCACCAATCCTCTACATCGAAATTTTAATGAAGTATTTCAAAATTTAAAGTTCTTCAAAACAAATAATCATAACATAAGATTGATAGATACAACTTACAAATCAACTTAGGGTAAAAATAAATAACCTGGAGATTTCTTTTTTCTAGTCAAGATTGCATTTTGTATACCAAAGAGTCCTCTTGCATTCTTGAATGCATCAATTTGCAAATCTATCTTCACCCTCTCATTAGTGTCAGGGACCATTTTTTCAAGACATTTGTACAACCCAATTTTAATCTCTGCATCAGCTTGAAAATTGGGACTATAATGAAGCTGAGGGTTCAAGAAGTATGCTGCAGCATGCAATGGGTGATGGAGTTGGGTTTCCCATCTTCTATCAATGATGGCCCATATAGGATCATAGCTGACACAATTTAATAAATATTATTAATGAATAAATAAATAGTTTATGGAAATAGTATTAAAGAGTAAATAAATAGCCAACGCTAAATAAAAAGTTTACCATCTTAGGACATTATTGAAATTCTTTTGAATTTCCTCTTTCGCACGATCCATTGCCTCATAAATGAATCCCATTGCCGGATGCTCATCCGAATCCACCAACCTAAGTACCTTAATGAGAGGTACTGCAGCCTTCAAGCAGGTAGAAACACCCTTCCAAAAATGTCGATTGTCCAAAACAATATTTTCAATTTTTTTCCCCTTTTCAGACTTCGCAAATCTACTATTCCTCCACTTCTTTGATGTAAATAGAGAGACCAATGCACCTTTTTGCTCATGAAGACGTCTCAATGTCAAGTAAGAGGTAGCAAACCGAGTTACCGCAAGCCTTGTAAGTTCAACGTCTTTTGTAAACTCCTTCATCCAATGAATAAGATTGGTTCTTGAATAAATGTATGCCACAATCTTTTTGCCTTTACCAATTGTAACATGATGAACTTGTATTTCCTTCTCAAAATCTTCTAACATCAAATCTATGCAATGGGCGGCACAAGGAGTCCAAAACAAGCCCTTTCTTTTATCCATTAACATTTGTCCCGCCAATTTATAATTAGAAGCATTGTCAGTTACAACTTGTACAACATTTTCTTCTCCAACCTTCTCAACAACCTCATCTAACATCTCAAAAACCTTTTCACCCGTTTTTGAAATGTCGGATGTATCTAGTGATGACAAGAAAATAGTTCCATTAGGGTTATTCACAAGAAAATTACATATGGATCTTCTCTTTCTATCTGACCATCCATCCGACATAATTGTACATCCGGTCTTCTTCCATTGTTCCTTAAACTCATCAACCAATTGTAGTGTCTCATGTACTTCTTTTTTAAAAAATGTCATCCTAATTTCATAATAAGATGGTGGCACAAGTCCTTTTCCATAATCCCCAATCTTCTTAACCATGAGTGGAAATATAGGGTTGTTCACACTATTAAAAGGAATTGCACTAGTGTAAAAAAAACGAGCTATGGTTTGACAAACATCATCTCTCTCTTCTTTCTTAAACATTTGATTGAGAGTTTTTTGATTTTGACGTCTAGATTTCTTTATCACAAATTTATCTATGGCACCCACCCGTTTTTGTTTGTTTTGATGATGATATGCTAATAGTTCCACCTCCTCTTCAGAATCATCACCAACATCAAACATCTTTCTCTTTTTATTTTGAGACTCTAATGTTTGAGTTCTTAAAAGACTCATGAACTTTCCTCTAACATCTTCTGGAACTTGAGGACATGGCTCAACATTTTGATGAGTACAAGCTAAATAATGTTTTAATCTATATATACCTCCCGATCGAGTCACATTACAATACTTGCATTGTACCTTTTTGGCTGCAGCATCTATTTCAATTCCATGTTCCCAACCAAGATCCGTTCGGTTACCCGCAACATTTTTCCTCTTCCTCTCTCTTCCAAAACCAGAGGCAGACATTGTTAACTCAATTGACAAACCTACAATCATATATTGAATATCACTGAATGAATTGACTACAATTTACAATTTGATAGTTGTGAAATATCAGAGAGAAAAAAGTCAAGTTACAGTCAAAAATAAATTGATTACAATAGGAATACCATGATGCCCTACAAAGGCCTCATTGAAATTATAGATAAGGATAAATTAGAATTTAGAAATTAGAAGTTAATTTACAAATTACAAATTACAATTACAAATTATGTTACAAATTACAATTACAAAGGGGGAAAAAAAAAAGGGAATGAGAACAAACCTGTATAAAAATGAAGCTGCACTACACTGGTATGTATATCTGCGCACTTTTCCTTGCTGCAATCTGCAAAATAAATTACAAGTTAAAAATTAATTTAATTAGGTTGACAGGAAAATGGAAGAAGGGGAAAAATGGAAGACGAAGTGGAAAATGGGGAAAAAATGGGAAATGAAAGTCAGAAAAATGGAAGAATAGGGAAAAAAAAGGCAGCAGCAGAGGAAAAAGAAGATGGAGGAGAAGAAGAAAAGGAGTCAAAGAAGACAAACAGAGGAGAAGAAGGTGTCGAATAGAGGAGAAGAGAAGGACTCGAATCACAGAAAAGAAGAGAAGAATCAGTCGAACAGAGAAGAAGAAGAAGAGAAGACGAAGCAGACGAAGCATACCTGGAGCTGGAATCTGGATAGAAGCTGGATGGAGGCTGCTCAGCAATTTTCCCCCAACATTTTGCCCTATTCTTATGTCGTAAGTGTTTAGAAGAGAGAGAAGTTGCATCAAACCTGTAATAAAAGCATCAGAAAAGGGCCAAAAGTAGGATCGCATAGGATCGCGATCCAAATACGATCCTACGATCCCATTAACGATCCTAACGATCCTGTTCCGATCCTGAGCAAAATACGATTCAGCATGCGATTTGGATCGATTCTCTAAAAATGGATCGTAGGATCGTACGATCCTACGATCCGGATCGCGATTTTAACAACCTTGATCTTCAAGCTCCCAACATTGGTGAGCTCTCACTCACTCTCTCCCCTTTGGCCTCTCCTTCTCTCGATTCTCTCTCCCTCAGATATTTTGTTTTTGACTTCAAAAAGATGAGTTCACAACTCATATGGCATATCTCTATATATATAAATATATCACACACACAAGCTTAACACAAGGGAGAGCCAAACGTGGCCTTACGAATCGTACGAAATCAAATTTCAATTAAACTTATCAGATGACTCTAAAAATTACGCTGATCATAAATATGTCCTCTATTCTGGTTTCTGAAGTCTCTAAGGCCTTCAATTTGCAGTATAAAGTTAACTATCCAAACGTGCATTAACGAATCAGACAAATTAGATTTCCAATTAATTTCCCCAAGTAGTTCTAAAAATTCCCATTAACATACCCAAGTACTCAATTTCGATTTCTAAACCCGTAAAGGTCAGTAATTTCAATTCTAAAGCCGTAACTCAACAGATAATGCTTCAATTCAAACAAATATCATTAAATTAAAATGCATTAACCCACAAGGGCATAAAGTAATTTCGAATACGAATTTTGGGATCGTTACAGGAAATATCTTCCATACATAAATGAAGAAGATAAAAACAAAACAAAAAAGAGAATGAAAAAGAAAGATAGAAATAACATTGTCAATGTTTGAATTCTCTCTTCTTCACCCTCTTTCTCTCTACATACACACTTGCATGCATGTATATACAATATATGTATAGTTTTTATACATATATGTATATATACTTGTATAGTTATGTCTGGATGCTTTAGAAGTGTATAAAGTTACAAAGATCTAATTTGTGTTGCATTGTGTCCTATTATTGTGCAGCTGCTATTCTTGCAGGAGTCTTTTGAGAAGACCAAGCCTGCAAAAAAATATGTGATTGCGGGATGGGAGCCAAAGGTCAATGCATGAAGTTATTCTAAGTTATGATAGTTTATATGTGTATTTTGATGTTTAATTACAGTGTATGAAGTTGTATGCGTTCAGACTAGCTATATGTATGTATGTTGAGCCAATTCGAATCATAATGGACACTGATTGCTTCTTTGCCTAATAAAAATTTCTGTCTGCTGGTCTTTAAAGGTATGCTATTCATCCTAACTTTGTAAGTACAGCCACTGTTGAAAGGCAATTATTATCTTCTAATTCTGCCTTTGTTCACAGACTCCTCTCCGGAGGTTGTGTACTAGTGTTCAACAAACTCAGTGATCTTGGAGTTATTTGAAGCTTGGTTAGAGTACGACTGGTTAGGAAAGGCGTGGGTTTTGTCCTAATGGATGAGGTCCATTCTCTATTGCTAGTCTTGGTGACCTGTTGGGATTTATACCACATCCCACCAATGAAAATAGAAGCGATGAAAATGGAGGCACAAGCACACACACACTAAAGAGAAAAAAACAATCACACAGATTTACATAGTTCGGCCCAAATTGTCTACATCTATAGGAGAGAGTTTTCACTATGAATAAAATAAAGAATACATGTAAGATTGCCAAAATATTCAAAATTCACACCAGTACTCGAACTCCATGCTTGAGGGTAGTTGAGCATTTGCTCACCCGGTGCCTATGATAATTTTTCTCTCACCTTTTGCATAGCCACTCTCTTAATCTCTTTTAGAGAAACCCTATAATCTACATAATTATTTATAATAATCTACTCGTGAGAATCCTAATTTTATACAATTAGGTAACCAAATATTACACATATTTGGTTTTTCAATAGATTCTGAACTCTATTATCCTAACTCAAATACATGTATAATCCTAACTCAAATACATGTATAAACCAACCTAATAACTATATGGGCCCTCCTTTATTACATTGGTGGACTAATCCTAACAATCACTCCTTCCATCTATGCGGGGTAATTTTATATGTATCCTTCAACCTGGATGTCTTGGTTTGTGTGATACACTTCACCTTCACTTAGAAAATGTTGCACTCTCTTGAATCGAGTGCCCACGTTATTTGCACCTCACACAACAATGCTCAAATGTGTCCTTCGTGCCTTTCTTTGTGTTCATGCTTGAGCCGATGAGATTCGCCACACCTACCTGAGATGTCTTCACTACCACGAACCAAAACCTTTTTATAGAAAAGAGACCCACGTCCTCCCTCAATGTATACCATATTGTTATAAAACTGTCTCAAATTCTATGCCCAAAGTTTCTTTCTGTGAACATCTAGCAACTCGTTGTCTTCCTCTTGGTGGCCACGAAATATCTTTGCAACTGTTACTCACCAATGTTTACCCATGACCCATACTACTCGTCTAATGCTTGACAGTAGCTCCCCTCTTGTCACAACATACTCTACGAGCCTGTACAAGTTGCCAATCATGATTCACAATCAGAAAGCACCAGTTGATTGTCCCCGCAATGACTGGACTTCCTGGTTGATTGAATTAGATCACTCATATATCACCCTTGATCACCAGTGGTCAAACTCGATCACCTAGATCACCGTTGAATCTGTCCAATCCCTTCAAACTTATTCGAAATCTGAAAATTCTAACTGTACCAATAAATCTGCAACCCTTGAAAACCTTGAGATCTACTTTGTTGTGAATTTTTCTGCCATGTTTCTTCTTGCGGAAGCCTTCACCATATTCAAGCCTTTTTTTTCCCCCCCCTTTTGTACCATCGGGATTTCTTTCTCTTCTGTGTGAGTACTTTGTTTGCAATAACCACACCCTCTATCAACCGCACCTAGGATCGGTTACCTTAAGCTCTTATACCACTTGTTAGGATTTATATCACATCCCACCAACACAAACGGAAGCACACCCATGAACACTCCAAAGAGAAAAACAATCGAACAGATTTTATGTGATTTGGCCCAAATTACCTATATCCACGGGAGAAAGAGTTTTCACTGTGAATAAAATAGAGATTACACGTGAGATGGTTAAAATACTCAAAACACACATACTTGAATTCCATGCTCAAAGGTAGTTAAATCCTTACTCACTCGATGCCCACGATAGTTTTTCTCTTACCCATTACATTTTTATTTTTTACCTCACCACTCTCTCGATCTCTCTCAGAAAAACCTTATAGTCCACATGACTATTTATAATACTCTACTCATAATAATCCTAGTTCTATACAATTAGATAATCAAATCCTACATAAATTAGGTTTCTCAATCGATTCTAAATTCTACTATCCTAACTCAAAGACATGTATAAACCAACTTAATAACTGTATGTGATCCACATTTATTTCATGGATGGACTAATCCTAACACTACCTACTCATCTAGTTGTGCCACTAGTGACAAATAGTACAAATAAATTAGATCATTTTAAGAATTATGGTGCAATCTTCTTCTAGTGTTACAACATGGTGCACTCTTGTGAAGAGCCAAAAGCTATTGACATAAGGGGGGTTCCATGTAGTCTGTTCATCTCAATTTGTACCTGTAAGAAATTGGGTCGGGTATTGGACCCGGATTTGGGCACCCATGTGGCATGACCCATGGTCCATTCAATGTAATTTATTTGTTAGGATAACCTTCTATGTATCTACATCTATCCTATCCATAGGAGATATGGATAGATGGATATATATGGTTATATATCTGAATTATATAGGACATCAGATACGTTATGTGTTTTTTACCCACAACATTTTTCTCATACTCTCTCTTTAACTCTCCCATTAGAATATAACGATACAACCTTTGCACTGTGAATAGAGTGGATGATACTCATACTGTGGTATTACTCCATTGCTGAGTGTTCTTAATTCGTGATTGTGAAACACGTGATTTACCCACAAGGTTCTTCGTTTCGGATTCTAACTCATAAGGTATGCCCGAATCCATTTTGCCCGCTGCGTTATCTGTGTCTTACATTGGTATCAAAGTTATAAAAGGATATTTTCGTACTTATTTTTTTGTGCATTAAAATATGTATATAAGTATATATATACATGATATATGCATGAAAAATTAATATTTTTTTGAACTTTCTTCGATCAACCTGAAAATTACATATGTTGTAGTTAATTTCATGTAGAACATATCTGCAAAGTTTCATAAAATTCCAACTGTTAGATTTCAAGAAAAATAAAGATCCATTTTATATTCCTGAAACTTTACATGCATGATGGTTTTACATTTTTTAATTTCAGTCTACAAATTTTACATATTTAGAATCCTTGTTTCGAGACCATTGAAACCATATATTATTTGTTAGATTTGGACTTACAGTTGAAGAGAAAAATCAAACCCTAATTTGGGTTCATTTTGGCTTTTTGGTGGCTTCAGAAAGAAGATAAATTGTAGAGTTTCTGCACTTCCACTCTCATTAGAGGGAGTGTGTGATACACCTCGTTATTTGTGTTTGTTAAATGTCTTTTTTAAGACCACTATTGTTTTTATTTTGAAAAATGGAGTCCGGTAGTACCAAAATTGGACCAGAAAACACCTTAGAAGGCGGCACACGTGAGCTGCACGCGCTAGATGAAGCCGTTAGCACCGCTCACGCACGCACCACACGTCACCCTGCTGCCCGCACACGCTAGGCACGCTTCTCACGCGTGCGTCGTCCACGCTTTACACATGTGCACCTTGCACCCTACCCGCACGCGCGTCAAGCCGCTCCGAGCTGCCCTACGTCGTTTTTTGCGCCGGCTTGACTGGCTTGGCTACTGGAATTAAGGCTCTGTTTGTTTGTTTTAAAAATCCAGAATTGTTTTAAATGGTCATGAGTAATTCATTATAGCTTTGTTTTAAGTGTGATTGGTACTATTAGACTCAGAATTAAATTTTTTATTTACCAGAAAATTTACAAAATTTTATGAAAATAAAAAATATTTTTTATGAGATAATAATTCATTATTTCTACTTTAAAATGCTTCTAGTATTTCATGGCTAAGTTTCTGGGGCTGAAATTTTTATTGTAAACTACTGTAATGGTTTACAATTTACTGGTATGATTGTTGCATTTTTTTAGATTCTGGATTATTTATTTCTGATTTTATGTGTATTTATTAATTATTTAAAATTTCAAAAAATACTAGAAAATTTCAAAAAAATTTCAAAAGTGATGTACTTTTTGTTATGGCATAATCTGAACATTAAACACAACATATTGTTGTTTTTTGCCTAGAGTTGGTAATATATTGTGATTAGAGAAACATGATTAGTTTTTTATTTTTTATTTTAATTCCATTATTAAATGAAATATAGCATGAGTTTATATTAAGATGCTATTGTATGTAATTAATATTTTATCATGCTTTAGACATGCCATAGTTTGTGGGAGGTTGTTCAGTTGAGAAAAATCTTTATAGATTTACTCTCGAAAACTAATGTTTTGTGCATGAATTAAATTAAATTTTGGATAATTATCACTTGTGGCGCAAGAGATGATTACGAGCATAGCGGATTTTTGATCTTGCGACTTGTGTAATATTGTCACTATTTAATTTAGATTTTGCGGCAAAATTATATTATGCTAATCAAATTAATCTCAATGCGCATTTTTTCCTCTAAATTGACTTAACTTATGAAAATTAATTTGGTTGACCTAGACTTAGTAGAGATGTTCAAATATAAACAATGTAATCCTTTTCTTTAGATAAGCAGAAAGTCTTAGAACTTTAGGTCAAATCTTAATTAAGCCAAAGTAAGGAAACACGACTCAAAGTCGCCATGTTTTTGTTGCCTTGTTTGGCGCAATAAAAACTGATGTGTGCGCTATAGTTAGCCACATGCTAGGTAGTTTTGATTGGTGAGTTTGGGGTTGTGAAATGAGTAAGCCCTCAATAGATCTAGACATGATCTTGACTATTGAGTTGCGCAGATTGACTTTTGTAATTTGGCTTGTAATATTGTTGCATCATTGGATGAAGTAACATTCAAGAGTCACATCATCCAAGAAATGTGAGCTTAAATGAGTTAGTCATTAAGTGTAAGACGAGTAGCCAGTGTAAGCAGTATTTTTCTCTCTACCTAACTGATGGGAGTGGATGGAGCAAAATTTCACGCACTATAATAGTGTGCGTTGAAGTATCACTTGAAGTTAAAAGATTAACGCTTAGAAGTTGCAAAATCTATTAACACTACGTGAAAAG